TCAACAACTTACAGAATTTTTAATAATCAATTACTCTTTTGATATGTTCCAGTCTGGTTTTAGACCCCACCACAGCACAGAGACCGCTCTAGTGAAGGTAACAAATGACATCAGACTTAACACTGACGCAGGAAAAGTCTCAGATCTTATCCTGTTAGATTTAAGTGCTGCTTTCGACACTGTCGATCATGGTATCCTCACTCAGAGACTTGAGGACTGGGTTGGTGTTTCTGGAACAGCCCTAAGCTGGTTTATATCCTACCTACAGGACAGAAAGTATTTTGTGGAGATCGGAAACTGTATCTCAGACCATCTGGCCCTAACCTGCGGAGTGCCACAGGGATCAATCCTGGGGCCTCTCCTGTTTAATATTTACATGCTGCCTCTGGGTAGGTTAATACACAGTAATAACGTGTCCTATCACAATTATGCTGACGATACTCAGGTCTATGTGTCCCTGACAGCAGGAGAACATGGACCAGTGGACTCGCTCCTTCACTGTATCCAACAAATCAGTGATTGGATGCAAAATAACTTTCTCCAGCTAAACACAGAAAAAACTGAAATTATTGTTTTCGGACCTCAAAAACAAAGAGAGAGCGTTATCTGCCACCTCCAGTCTCTCTCCCTAAAACCCTCAACTCAGGTCAGAAATCTAGGAGTAATTTTCAATAGCCACATATCATCTGTGACATCATCAGCTTACTTCCACCTAAGAAACATTGCTAAAATTAAAAACATTGTGTCTAAAGCAGACTTGGAGATTCTTATCCACGCATTTGTCTCCAGTCGATTGGACTACTGCAATGGCTTGTTCACAGGTCTCTCTAAACAAGCGGTAAAACAGCTGCAGTACATCCAAAATGCTGCAGCTCGAGTCCTGACTAGAACCAGGAAGTACGACCACATTAGTCCGGTCCTCAAGTCTCTGCACTGGCTTCCTGTGGCTCAGAGAATAGATTTTAAAGTAGCTTTACTTGTGTACAAGTCTGTCCATGGCCTCGCACCAGGGTACATCCGCGACATGTTGGTGCCATATGAACCAACTCGGGCTCTGAGGAGCACAGGGACTGGACTTCTGTTAGTGCCAAGAGTCGGAACTAGACATGGGGAGGCTGCGTTTCAGATTCATGCAGCTAGAGTCTGGAACCGTCTTCCCGAGAGTGTGAGACAGGCGTCTACTCTAGCAGTTTTTAAAACTGAACTGAAAACAGTTCTTTTTAGCTGTGCATACAAGTGAATGATTTTATATTTGTTTTTATCTTTAATCTTTTTAATGCGCTATGATTATTTATGATTATTTATGATTGTAATCCCTTGTGTGATTTTAATGTTTTACGGTTTTTAACTACTTGTGTGATTTTATATATCTTGTGCTCTTAATCTGTCTTTTTATGTTTACTTAAATTCTAATGTTTGATGATTTATGCATGATGTTATATGGGTTGTGAGGCGCTTTGCGTTGCCTTGTGTAGGAAAGGCGCTCTACAAATAAACGTTGATTGATTGAACGTTGATTGAAAGTTCTTATTGACAATCAAAGTAAACCACTACACTCGGGCTCCTTCCCCCCAGCAAGGTGACGTTCCACGTCCCAAGAGCCATATGTTGGGTGTGCGGACTTGGTTGCCGAGGTCTCCGCCTTTGACTGCTGCCCAGTCCTCTCTGCACCGTTTCACCACCACGGACCCCTCTGCAGGTGGTGGGCCCACAGGAGGGACTGCCCACGTCGACCTTTCAGGCTGAGCCTGGCCGGGCACCAGGTGCTCGCTTGCAAGCCCCGACCCCAGGCCTGGCTCGAGGGTGGGGCCCCGGGACACAATGTCTCTGTGTCCAGAGACCTTCCAGAGACTTTATATGACAGCAGTATGTGTTCATAGAGGTGCACCATACGTTTATTTTATTATTAAACAATACTTCCGCATCGGTGAACACCCTCGAAGCAGTTGTATAAATTCACGAGAGCATGAAAACGTTTATGTTCACAAACACTATGTCCCCCATTGTCAAGCCTGGTTTTAGTCCTGGTGTAGCTCCTGTTTTTGCTGTTTATGAGTATGTTCAGTCTGCTTGCTCAGACCGGTAATGTCCCTGTGATCACTTTGTGGCTCTCTGATTGGTCGCTGCACGAGCGTCCCGAGGAAACGCTAAGCAATATTTATTTCCTGCGTGCGTCAATTTTTCGCTCCTGCGCCTTTGCCGCGCAGTCCGTGCATTGAAAGTCGACGCAACGCAAGATCCGGTGTGAAAGCACCATTAACCCTCTATGCACATGGGTCATTTTGGGGAACCTGGTTTTCTTTGTGTATAATTGTTCATAAAACAGTCATCTTTTGATGCAGAGTCAAGCAGTATACTTTGTTTTTTTCAGTACAACCTGGGGTTTTAGAATATTCATATTGTAAAGCTGTCATATGAATTATATAAAAATTATGGAATCATGAAGACAAAGAAAAAAATCAAACAGAAAATCAATTTAACAAAAATGTATTGAAAAAACACAATGAAATGCTATAAACAACTTTTTACACTGGATAGAAATGTTATTTATGGTCTTGGGGATAATGGGGAAAAAAATTGAATCTCTAACTATTATACTTTTTACAAAATTCCACTATAAAAGCAAAAAACTCTGTACTCCTGATGCCCTTCCTGAAGCAGTTTGTTTATAATGCTGGGGTTGCTTCTGTAGTACAGCTGTAAAAAACGTAAAACATAAGAAACTGAGCCAAAAAAAAAAAAAAACATCAATTATTTATATAATACATATATTTATATACATCATATACACATAATGTCATTTTACTGTATTTATTATCGTCTTTATCAATAATGCGCACTCTTCAGCCGGTTATTGCAATCGCAGCTGTAGTTTCAACTGTGGGACAACAAGTAAACGCAGAGAAGTGAGACATCTCACTCTCTGACGATCTTTGGCAGTCCCCGTGTGTTTGTATCTCACAGCTGTTTGTACCTCACGGGTCACGCTTTGGACACGGACGTTCAGACAAACGTAGTTTATCCTCCGTGCATTGCACAGACAAATCAAAACTAGTTTCGGAAAGCCCTGAATATGTACTTCACAGAGGAAAAAAAAGTAAGTTGCTACGTTTTACCGTTCGCGAGTAAATTGATCATTTGTAAAACATGTGCATCGGCGCCGATGCACGCGGGCATATAGGGTTAATATTTCATGTGGATGGATGGATGTTTCCAATTTTACTTTACTGCAATTTGGTTTTGCCTTGTCTATGAAATGTGCGATACAAATAAACATGTTGAGTATGACATTCCTGTGAACGCCTTTTTATCTGATTTATGAGGTTGCCTGGAGACTCCTTGGGGAATATATACAGTGCCTTGCTTCATGCCCCCACCCCCACCTATGTGCCCTTCTGGGTTTCTTCTTTGGCCCCCTGTATCTCCAACTACATATTGTTTGTAATCTCTGTCTACAATGTATCTGAACTAGTCCTTTTCTTTGTTTTCTATTTTTTTTTTCTGTATATGTGTTTGTCTGCAATAAAAAGTAAAAAAAACAACAACAAAAAACGCGATATTTTGGACAGCACTAATAAAAATTTGATTTTTTGTCAAGAATCAAAAACAAGTGGGACACAATCGTGAAGTGGAACGAAATTTATTGGATAATTTAAACTTTTTTAACAAATAAAAAACTGAAAAGTGGGGCGTGCAATATTATTCGGCCCCCTTGCACTAATACTTTGTAGCGCCACCTTTTGCTGCAATTACAGCTGCAAGTCGCTTGGGGTATGTCTCTATCAGTTTTGCACATTGAGAGACTGGAATTCTTGCCCATTCTTCCTTGTAAAACAGCTCGAGCTCAGTGAGGTTGGATGGAGAGCGTTTGTGAACAGCAGTCTTCAGCTCTTTCCACAGATTCTCGATTGGATTCAGGTCTGGACTTTGACTTGGCCATTCTAACACCTGGATACGTCTATTTGTGAACCATTCCATTGTAGATTTGGCCAGTCTCAGGTCTTTTGCAGACTCCAACAGGTTTTCTTCCAGAATGGTCCTGTATTTGGCTCCATCCATCTTCCTATCCATTTTAGCCATCTTCCCTGTCCCTGCTGAAGAAAAGCAGGCCCAAACCATGATGCTGCCACCACCATGTTTGACAGTGGGGATGGTGTGTTCAGGGTCATGAGCTGTGTTGCTTTTTTGCCAAACATATCGTTTTGCATTGTGGCCAAAAAGTTCGATGTTGGTTTCATCTGACCAGAGCACCTTCTTCCACATGTTTGGTGTGTCTCCCAGGTGGCTTGTGGCAAACTTTAAACAAGACTTTTTATGGATATCTTTGAGAAATGGCTTTTTTTCTTGCCACTCTTCCATAAAGGCCAGATTTGTGGAGTGCACGACTGATTGTTGTCCTTTTGGACAGACTCTCCCACCTCAGCTGTAGTTATCTGCAGTTCATCCAGAGTGATCATGGGCCTCTTGGCTGCATCTCTGATCAGTCTTCTCCTTGTTTGAGATGAAAGTTTGGAGGGACAGCCGGGTCTTGGTAGATTTGCAGTGGTCTGATACTCCTTCCATTTCAATATAATTGCTTGCACAGTGCTCCTTGAGATGTTTAAAGCTTGGGAAATCTTTTTGTATCCAAATCCGGCTTTAAACTTCTCCACAACAGTATCTCGAACGTGCCTGGTGTGTTCCTTTGTCTTCACGATTGTGTCCCACTTGTTGTTAATTCATGACAAAAAAATATTTTTTTTATATGTTTATGTTTGAAGCCTGAAATGTGGCGAAATGTTGAAAGGTTCAAGGGGGCCGAATACTTTCGCAAGGCACTGTATGTAAGAGTCCTAGGGACTCAGAGGTAAGAGTCCTAGGGACTCAGAGGTGAGATACCTCTGAGTTTCAGAATCACTGATCAACGTCAAAAAACTAACCTGCCTTATTATTTGTTGCTTTCCCACATGGATAGATCTGAGATGTCAAAACCTGAAAGCTCAGGGTCCGTATGGACTTACTTTGTGCACCAGGGGCCCTTCCAGAGCACCCAGCCCCAGGGGTTGCGGAGGCGGATGAGCTGCACTCTGCTGTCCTGGTCTACTTGGTCACACTGAAAGAAAGAAGTTAAAGGACTGTTCTCCTCAACACAGTGACCAGCAGCAGACCAAGGACTCACCTCCTCCAGGGCGATGATCGAGTAGGCATGGCCCCGCACCAGGCCCTGCTCCATGTGGCTCTCCATCTCAATCAGTGACGCCACCTGATGCAAACACGCACACACGCATGCCATGATAAGAAAAAACGTCAGTCCAGGGTCAATGTCAATAATGTTTGACCACGATCAATGAATAATTTGGTCGGGGTAAAAGTAGGGTTAGGGCCAGAAATTTGGGCTAGGGTTTGCTATGCTTAAAGGAATAGTTCACCGTTTTTACATACTGACATATGTTCTTACCTTACCTTAGACTAGTTAATACGTACCTGTCTGGTCTTAGTCCGTGCGCTCTGTCATGCAAACGGAGCAAAAACGGGAGCACAAACGCAGCCTCCTCTGTATATTTTGTAGCACCAAAAGGTAGCTCCCGCTAGAAGCTACCAAACTCTTCCAAGTGTTCCCTATTAAATGTATATAGTTACGTGACGTGTTACACTGCAAAGTATAGTAACACAGAAATGTAACTGTCGATTTTCTCAGCGGATAAAACGGGTACAATATTGTGAGGCGTAGTAATCTGAGTAGCGCTACGTCCGCGCACTAACTTCTCTCCGGAGACTTCTCTCTCGCTCACTTCCGTCAATAGAAGCAGCGTGACTTGTAGTACACACAGTAGCAGCGAGAGACAAGTCTCCGGAGAGAAGTTAGTGCGCAGATAAGTTAGGAGCGCTACGTCCGCTGAGAAAATCGACAGTTACATTTCTGTGTTACTATACTTTGCAGTGTAACACGTCACGTAACTATATACATTTAATAGGGAACACTTGGAAGAGTTTGGTAGCTTCTAGCGGGAGCTACCTTTTGGTGCTACAAAATATACAGAGGAGGCTGCGTTTGTGCTCCCGTTTTTGCTCCGTTTGCATGACAGAGCGCACGGACTAAGACCAGACAGGTACGTATTAACTAGTCTAAGGTAAGGTAAGAACATATGTCAGTATGTAAAAACGGTGAACTATTCCTTTAAGGTTTGGATTCGGGTGAAAGCAGGCCAAAGGTTAGGGTTACGAATCCAGGATCATTCAAATTACAAACACAATGCGCTCTGTTGAGCGCATTGTGCGCTCAACAGAGCGCACAATGCGCCAGACCGCCTTCGCCCGAGCGGTCTGGTCATATCACTGCTGAACCTTTTCACCTTTCACAGGAACTATTCCTACCACCTCCCTCAGGCAGAAAGCTACAACATATACGGACAGGAACCTCCCACCATAAGAACAGTTTATTCCCCTCTGCAGTTGGACTCATGAACACTTAAAACTCTTCACTGTCCCCTGGCCTTTATGACAGTCACATTATGCTACTGTCACTTTACTGTATTGCTAAATGTCTATTGTGTGTACTTGGTGCAGTGCACTTGTATATTGCAGTAATTTAAAGAATTGTAGGTGTACTTAGTGCACTTATATATAGTAGTAATTTCAAGAAATGTTATGAAGTTTTTTTGTTTTTTGCATGCCTTATATCTATCTTTACTTTTATAGTTTGTTTAGACCAAGAGCCAAAGCAGTTTCCTAATTTGTGACTTCCTATTACATACATCCATCCATTACTTCCACTTCATCTGTTGCCGGGTCGCGGGGGCAGCAGTCAAGGCAGAGACCATAGACATATAAAGAGTAGACGCTGCATCTACCACTACTGTCAATTGGCGATGACGAGCCGTAGCGCCGCCCATCTTGGACTGGTTGCCCGCTCCTCTCAGTGTAATCTGTTTAGCAGGCGCAGTGACGTGTCAGCGCATTTAATCAATCATATCTCACTGAATACTTTTTTTACACTTCTTTCTTTACTGTAAACGTCACACATGTACTGTAGCTATGATACAGGATACATGGTTTGCCAAATATCATTATTCATAGTGGGTTTAATAGTAATTTAATATTCTGATTTGATTATGTGATGTATGATAGCTATTTTTGCAAAACACACAATGTTGTGTAGATACAAAAGCCAGGGACATTTGACTTTCAGGTGATATGTATGGAGAATTATGCAAAAGTGACACTGAACAGTATGTATAATATAGATATATTATACCCTGTATTGCTGGGTTGCAAGCACGTGACCAAAAGGGGGTGTGGCAAGGGGCCGTAGGACAGAAAGTATTTTTCTCCTATTAAATAGAATGGGAGATACGGGAAACCGCACACACGGAAGCTTTTCGCGGCTTAATATCACTCTGAAAACTATTTTCAATGCAGCGTACACCTTGTAGAGTGCGAAGCTATCGCCATCCCACTACCGCACACCCACTGTTGTTGACGGAGCTAGCGTCTCCCAATATGGATAAATCCATGCATCGCACATTTGAGCGGGGATGGCGTGAACATAGAATGATAGAACCGGGAAGCTCGGAGGAACGGGACTTTCTCTCGGATGGTAGTTTTGCTGTGTAAGCAGTAACCGGTAACGAAGACACGGAAACTTCAGGTTAGCTCCGCCGCTTGTTGTGCTAATTCAGCAGTCTGTTGAGGAACCTGTATATTTCTCAAGAAAGTGGGGGCTAGTGGTGCGCTGTGATTGGTCACAATCTGAGACCCGAAACACATTATCTTCCTTGTTTTATCAAAACTCGATCTAAAATATAGTAGGCGGCTGCATATATGACAAAAAACCACCTAACCCCAAAAAAATTCTAATAAAAGGATTCTCAGATGTTTTTTGTAGTATTAGGTGTCCTTAATAACATACTAAAAGTTTACCAAAGTTTGACCACTAGAAAAGTGTAATTTTCAAGATGGCGTCCAAGATGGGCAGGAAACCCTTAACATATCCTAACTCGTTCATTATTTGACCTAGCCAAGTAATCTTGGTGTCTAACCCCATATTTTCTGGGTCCATGAATCCATTGGACTTGTCTAAATTTCACTGACATTATTACATACTTATGGAATACATGATTTTGTGATATTACTGTAAGTTTTTATCTTTGAGGTGAACCATTCTGAAGTCCTTAAAGCAAATGATAAAAATGCCCCATTTGAAACTATTCACGTAAAAGGACGGCATCTTCCATGGACTAGCTCTGACTTAATTAATCTTTTTAAACGTCGAGACCAAGCTTGGACTAATACAGAGAATCTAAGGACCCTAACGACTGCGAGATCTATAGACAACTCAGGAATCAATCCAAAACCCAAACTAGGAATGCCAAGTCAAATTACTTTGAGTAGTACTCGGTCTGAACTACAATAATCCTAAACGATTTTGGAAACACCTGGACCAGCTTCTGGGTAGGTCCAAAAGAAACTCAACTAATCATGTTACTGTTAATACTTAATCTTTGACTACTTTAATGAATACTTCTCCGTAAGTAGTACACGGCACTCTTGTCATCCATACTTACCTAATCCACTAAATGACGTTGTTCCTGAGACATCATTTTCTTTTAATCAGATTTAACATTTGGATGCAATACAAGCTATAAACGAGCTTAAAACTAACAGTGCGGCTGGTCCAGATGGCTTAGAAGTAAAATACCTTTTATTGGGATCCAATGTGCTTATCTATCCACTGACCCACCTGCTTAACCTGTCACTAAGTACGTGCTCCGTCCCTCTTAGAGCCCTGCACTTGAGCCGTTGGCCCGAGGGCCCCGACGGCCCGAGGGCCCCGACAGCCCGAGGGCCGGGCTTCGGGCCGATGACCGCATAATGACCTCGGACACGGGCCGGGCTCGGGCTCTTCATTTTCAGAGCGGCAGAATACATTTATGAACGCACCCACTGAATATAGCGTTCTATCACGCTGTAGTGTTTGTTGTTCTGTGTAGTGTTGTCATTGACGGCACATAGCATTACTTATGTAATGTGCAGATGTGTTGCAGCATCTGGGCATCATACAGATGCGGCCGTTCACTCTGCACCACTCCGCACACACAGAACTCATTGCAACACATCACTACCATGTATAACTCCGCCCTCTAGCTAAGTCCGCGTTCATATCAGTGTGCGGCACTATATACTACGCTAAAACATTGTTATGGGAGGTTACAAAAAAAAAAAAAAAAGCCGGGCTTGATGCGGGTTTCGGGCCTGAAAATTCAGAAACCATATCGGGCCGGGCCGGGCTGGGGCGCCACCCCCTCGGGCCAGGGCCGGGCTCGGGCCCAGATAATTGGCCCGTGCAGGGCTCTAGTCCCTCTCATCTGGAAAACTGCAAGGGCTACTCCCATCTTTAAAGGCGGAGACCACTCCGATGTAAGTAACTATCGGCCCATCTCTATTATATGCACCATCACTAAAATTATGTAAAAGATAATTTTCCGCCAACTGTAGCTTTAACATCTTATCTCCCCATCAGTCAGGCTTCCAGTCTGGCTACTCAACTACTAAGGCACTACTTAAATTTACAAATGATGTTTTCCCGTCCATCCATCCATCCATTTTTGTCCGCTTCATCCGTTGCCGGGTCGCGGGGGCAGCAGTCCAAGCAGAGATGCCCAGACTTCCCTATCCACACTCACTTCCTCCAGCTCGTCCGGGGGGACCCCAAGGCGTTCCTAGGCCAGCTGAGAGACATAGTCCCTCTGTGTCCTGGGTCTTCCCAGGGGCCTCCTCGCGGTGGGACGCGCCGGGAACACTTCCCCAGGGAACAGATGCCCGATCCACCGTAACTGGTTCCTCTTGATGTAGAGAAGCAGCGGCTCTACTCCAAGCTCCTCCCGTGTGACTGAGCTCCTCACCCTATCTCTAAGGGAGCGCCCAGCCACTCTGCGGAGGAAGCTCTTTTCGACCGCTTGTATCCGCAATCTCGTTCTTTCGGTCAGTACCCAAAGCTCATGACCATAGGTGAGGGAGGGAACGAAGATTGCCCGGTAAATTGAGAGCTTTGCCTTTCAGCTCAGCTCCCTCTTTCCCACAACGGTCCGATAAAGCGACCGCATCACTGCGCACGCTGCACCGATCCGCCTGTCAATCTCACGCTCCATCTGTATCCCTCACTTGTGAACAAGACCCCGAGATACTTGAACTCCTCCACTTGAGGAAGGACCAGTCCACCCAACTGGAGTGGGCAAGGCACCTTTTTCCGGTCGATCACCATGGCTTCAGATTTGGAGGTGCTGAATCTCATCCCAGCCGCTTCACACTCGGCTGCAAACCGTCCAAGTGCATGCTGCAGGTCCTGGCTCGTTGGAGTCAACAGGACAACATCGTCCGCAAACAGCAGATATGAAATCCTGTGGTCCCCGAACCGGACCCCCTCCGGCCCCTGGCTGCGCCTAGAAATTATGTCCATAAAGACAGTGAACTGAACCGGGGACAAAGGGCAGCCCTGGTGGAGGCCAACATGCACCGGGAACAGGTCTGACTTACTGCCGGCAATGCAAACAGAGCACTCCCGGAGAACCCCCCAAAGGGCACCCCGGGGAACACGGTCGAACGCCTTCTCCAAATCCACAAAGGACATGTGGACAGGTTGAGCGAACTCCTTCCTTCTCGGTCGTAGTCTCCTCTCCAGTACCTTGGAGTAGACCTTACCGGGGAGGCTGAGGAGCGTGATCCCACAATAATTGGAACACACCCTCCAGGCGGGTCCCCCTTTTTATAGAGGGACCACCACCTCGGTCTGCCACTCTATTGGTACCGCCCCCAAGCGCCACGCGATGTTGCAGAGACGTGTCAGCCAAGGCAGTCCTACAACATCCAGAGACTTTAGATAGTCAGGACGGATCTCATCCACTCCCGGAGCCTTGCCACCATGGAGGCTGCCAACCACCTTTGTGACTTCAGCCAGGGAGATGGAAGCATCCGCCCCAACATCCTCATCCTCAGAGGTTGAGGATGTTGTCCCTTCCTTTTCCCTTCTTTTGATAATAACCAGTACACAGGTGGCATTTTTCTTGATCTCTCCAAGGCTTTTGATCTAGTAGACCAGTATTTACTTTTGGACAAACTTTACTCAATAGGACTCAGTAGAAATGCTCTCGGTTCAATGCTAATCATCACAATAGACGGTAGTTTGTAGTTTTTAATGGTTTTCAAACTGGTCTCTCCAGCATGGAAAAAGGAGTACCATTTTCTACCCTTTAATCCATTTCTGAGTCAGGGGGGTGGCAGTCAGAGATGCCACCCAAGTCTCATAGCACCAGCCCCTCACTGACCCTCTGCAGGTGGTGAGTCCACAGGAGGACGGCTGCTCTCTGAGTGTGAGCATAGCCTTGATCTTTCAGTGGGGGCTTTTGGGCAAAGTGGGGTTAAGTGTCTTGCCCAAGGACACAACGACAGCAGTCATCAGTGGGAGTCGGTGGAGAAGGTGTCGAGGTGGGAATTGAACCCACGACCTTCAGGCCTGAAGGCCAATGCTCTACCAACTGAGCTACTGTCGCCCCATGTTTATATATGCTCATAACCAATTGCTTTAATATATAATTGTACTTGCAATCATTTATTTTTCATGCAAATATACTAATTAGAATATATATATATATATATATATATATATATATATAATGTGTATATATATATATATATATATATATATATATATATGTATGTATATATATATATATATTATATATATATATATATATATATATAATGTGTATGTATATATATATATATATATATATAATATATATATATATATATATATATGCATGCTTAATTCTACAGAGTGAGTTTACTTAGACAAAGTTAAATGAGGTAGTATCACCATAGGGCCCCAATCTGAGTAAAGATATAAAGATCTAAGTAAACTGCATTGTGAATAAATAAAGAGAAGTTGCCGCTCACAGCAGTGCCAGTGAGGCTTACTGTTTCTTTTGATACGGAAGGAAGACGCAATGTCCTTTAGCGCAGGCGCGGAGGTACTTGAGTAAATGAGATCAGGCTCAGAGTTAGTGGTCCTAAACCGATTCCCCAGAGTGAGTGTTCAAGAAATACAACAACCCAATGTGTACATGCTCTGTGGCATTTTTGATAATAAAGAGCATAAAGAAATATCTTTTATGATCTTCATATTTGATATGATCTTCATAATCACTTCCACAACAAATCTGGTGCTTCCTAAGGTCTCAGAAAGCACTGTCGGCGGCAGAGTATTTAGCTACCAGGCTCTTTTACTGTTGAATTTACTTCCCATTCACGTTTAGGAAGTAGAGACGGTCTCTACATTCAAAGCTAGGCTCAAGACAGTCTTCTTCAACTTAGCATTCTGGTATTTAGGTTGTTTGGCAAGAGCTCTGGTGTGTCGTCTTCTCTGTCTGATGCATACTGGGGTAGTCTTGCACAGTTTTTCCAATGTGGTTTTACTGCAAATGGCAAATAAATGAATCTGAATCTGAATCTGTCTGCTCTAGGAGTCTGCTTGTACGGGACCTGGACCGGCGAACTGCTGCATATGGAGTCAGTTTGCTGGGAGAAGTATGGTAACTTGAGCACTACTACTACTTTATCTGTCGGCATTATTACGTAGTCTGTTCATTGCTATTCACCCATTGTCTGTTTCATGGCGCAACAACGGGACCTCTGAACCTGGCCCCTTCCATCTTCACCTGCGGACTGCCCTGCCCGAACCGCCGGGAGTTGCTTCAGACCTGTCCACGTTCTACAACTGCTGCATGGCCTTGGTACTCGTTCTGTAGCTTAGATCCTGGATCTATAGCCCGTTCGTTCGTGTGGAGCGGATCCCTCTCTCAATGTGGATCTCCAAGGTTTCTCACTTTTCTCCCAATGGGTTTTAGAATTCTTCCTTGTCAATGCAGGAGGGTCTGTTAGACTGTTAGGGGTATATTTGTTGTGTCTTAACTGTTGATTCTCTGCTCTGTGTTGGCTATTTCAACGGTTTTGTTAAGTCCTCTGAGATGACTACTGTTGTGATTTAGGGCTATACAAGAATAAATTGAATGGACTAAATTGAATTGAATAAATTGAATTGAATTGAACCCATTTAAGAACAGTTCTGCTCAAAGTCGAGCATAATAACAGTAAGACAAAGGTCACGTAAAAGCAACGAGTAACATAAATTACTTTCTTTATAGAGTAAATATGTAAAGTTACAGGTTAGTTTTCAAAAATAATCCCCAACACTCATAACCTCAACTGCAATTTAGTGGTGGAAGTATTTCTACCTGGCCTAGATTATTATTATTATCATTATATCCTAATGATGACAAAAGCATAACAAAGCATAGCTCCAGGTCTGTTTTGATGAACATGGATGCTTGACACAAAAGCCATAATGTGTGGTTGTACTGACGTCAATGGAGCACCCCATGAGTGAGCCTCTCTCCAGGGCTTTCTTCATGATGCAGAAGAGCTGTTCTGGAGCATGGCTCAGCTCGAAGAACTCTGTGACCCCTCCAGTGAAGTCCTCCATGGCCTCCAGAGTGTTGCCCCCTCTCAGAGCCTCGTATGACCCATGCAATCTGGCACACACAGTGAACACCACACAGTATTAGGTTAGGGACAAAAGAGCCAATATTGTACTCGTAGTAAGACAGAGTAGTGAGCGCTTCAGTGGGTTCTTTTTGTGTGTGTAACACCCCTTCAGAGTCTACTGCATCACATGCAATGCCATTGTCCAAACTGATGCAGAAAGGGCCGCTGTGGCTGCAGGTTTTCTATCAGACCCAGGAGGAGCAGAGCAGATTCCACTCATTTCCTCAAGTGAATTAAGTCTTAACCTGAAGATTTGAGGAACTGGGTGGAGTCTACTCTTGGCTAGCCTGGCCGTGGCTGCTGCTGTCTCACCTTCGTTCGGACACTATACTCAAGGCCAAGCTTAAAATAGTCCTTCAGTTTAGCATATGGTTAGGAAGGTAAGACTCAGGGAAGGCTAAACTCCTGAAGAAGATGACAAAGTCTGGGATCGCGTCTTTAATTCAGACAGAAGATATGTTTTATTTTCGCTGGTAGAAACAGCACGAACAACACAAACAAGGGATGTTACGACAGCAAGTGTATTATTCAGCATGGAGGAATGCAGTCCTCCAATCAGCAGCTTCCACGGTGCCGTGTAGCTTGGCCTTCAGAAGTCAAAACAAGGGAAAAGTACTGGCTTATGCACATTGATAGAATGATGAGTTTAACTTTCACAAAAGTTGCTTAAAAGTGTTCTCACATTCCCCCCTCTGGTCACACATTCACGTGTGACCATCAGGATCGATAAACAGCAATATAACATATCTCAATACTTCAAAAACTCAGAACTCAGAATACTTAAAAAAACTCAGAAAACTCATGAAACATGTTCAGATCTTTCATAAAACTCTTCAACAATCTTCAGTAAAATACCAAACTTCATCAGTCGATGGGGGTTCCAGTTATTGCTTTGAAAACAGTCTCTCCCACTTCTCCGTTTTGATTTCTTCAGGCTGCATTTTTTTTGTCGAGCCATGAAAACTTCTGTGACGTGTCTTTCAATCACACGTTTCAGCTTTAGTGTCCAGATTCAGAAATCCAATTCAGTCCAAATTATGTCCAAATTCAGAAATCCAATTGTTCCAAATTATGTCAAAAATATGTAATCCAATTGTTCCAAATGATGTCCATGCTAAAGAGGACGATGGTATTGTCTATGTCTCAGCAGCTCACAGCAGGCCTGAGTGGAGTCAGGGGCTGTGCAGATTGTCCATGTGCTGATCCAGATGCATTCTCTTGAGGTTTTTCAGTTTTGTCTTTAAAAAAAACAAATTTTTGTGTAAAAAAAAAAAGTATTCTGTTCTGTAGATGTTACAGACAATGCCCGCATCCTTCCACCACCTGAAGAAGATGACAAAGTCTGGGATCGCGTCTTTCATTCAGACAGAAGACATGTTTTATTGTTGATTGTAAAGACAGCACGAACGAAACGAACAAGGGATGTTACGACAGCAAGTGTATTATACAGCATGGAGGAATGCAGTCATCCGTTGTCCCATTGTCTGTTTCATGGCGCGACAACGGAACCTCTGAACCTGACCTCCTCCACCTTCATCTGCGGACTGCCCTGCCCGACCCGCCTGGTAGTGCTTCAGTCCTGCACCTCTCTGCATTAAGATTTTGACTGTAGTGTGTTCATTGCTATTCACCCGTTGTCTTATTGTCTGTTTCATGGCGCAACATGGCTGCAGCCGCTGCGTGGCATTGGTCCTCGTTCTGTAGCTTAGGTCCTGGATCATTAGCCCGTCCGTCCATGTCGGAGCGGATCCCTTTCTCAAATGTGGTTCTGAGGTTTCTCACTTTATTCCCACTGGGTTTTTATGAGTTTTTCTGTGCCGATGCAGGAGGGTCTGTTGGGCAGTTAGTGTCCAACTAGAAGTACTGTGGTGACAATCCAGGACACTTTAACATTCTACAATATGTGTGGACATTTATCAACATTCATGGACATTGGTCTCTCCCTATGGCCCAATTTATATGCTTATATTTTGTGTCTTAACTGTTGATTCTCTGATCTGTGTTGGTGATTTCAATGGTTTTGTTAAGTCCTCTGAGATGACTTCTCTCGTGATTTAGGGCTATACAAGAATAAGTTGTTGTTTTTGTTGTTACTCTGCTCCTCCTGGGTCTGATTTCCTGAATTCCTGCAGCCACAGCGGCCCTTTCTGGACCGGTTTGGACACTTCTAGCAGAAGAACTGTCTCTAGTGCACATCCAGCCCTCGCGGCTGCAGGTTTGAAATGTGCATTGGCTGCTGCAAGCAGTTGGGCCAACACATGGGGTATGAAATTCAACCCTTCAAAGACTGTATGTTTGTGCTTTGCTAAACTGCCTGTTAAAAACAAATAGATGGTCAAGTCATGTTTGACGGCCACAACATTCCTTCTCAAGTGAGACAAAGCACTAGGGGGTAACAATCAACAGTGACTTGAAATGAATGCGTTATGTTGAGGACTTGTGTAAAGGGGCTAGGAAAGAAATGTTTGTATTGAGGCTCCTAAAATCAAAGCTTCCACCACAAAGCAATGAAGTCCTGCTTCGGATCTATAAAGCATACATTAGATCCCAACTAGAGTACTGCTCAGTGCTGATCTGTGGCATATGTAACCCAGGTAGAAAACCCTGTGAGTTTATTCCCTTCTTAGATCAAATCAAAAAAAAAAGTATTATATTGATAATTGTATTGAGCATTGTAATAATTAGTATTATATTGAATTGAATGCATCTCCGCGTCACGTGACTGTGCGCTATACTCTCATTGGCTTATATGCCGGCAGTAGCACACACACCGGTAACGCGAGGTTGAAACTGGGAGGTGAATTGCTGCAGGAGCCGAGGACTGGGTCCGTGCTACTTCTCAGAGCGAGTAAGGCAGAAGTTCGGGACTAGGCCTTGTCAGATGGCGAGCTAGAGACCTGAACTATTGGAGTCATCATCTCGCTTAACTCCACTGGGCTCTCCACAAGGGGTCCACATTGTCCTCTTGGGACTCAGGAGTCAGCGGAACTTCACCTGCTCTGAGCAGGACGGGTAGGAGGCTCCTGCAGCCGCCTTCTTTAATTTTCATAACCTCAACTCTTCCTTGTGTGCCTCGGTCCGTGGCGTCTGCGTCCAACCGTGTTCCGCGCTGTGTGGAATATTTTTGCTCTCAGGGAAATAAGCACTGAATGGACTATTGGAATACCGCTTGAACTTTTGTTGCATTTGTGACTTTTGTTTCATTGGAACTGGACTTTGTATATATCGTATGGCCATTCACTGGGGTTGGGTTGTGGGGTAAATGTTCTCTCTGTGTCCTTGTCTTATGTGTGTGCAATGTATGGTACCAACAAAACCCAAAAGACTGTCTTGTGTATGCTTCACTCACTCCCAGAGCCGATACCTAGCTCTTCTGATCTAGCCAATTGATGTTCTCTCTTGTTGAAAAAAAGTCTAGTTAACCCAGGGACCGGTTACACATAGAAAAGACTTTCATAAACTGTTTAGAGAGTGTTAGGATTAGATAGCAATATGGCCGACGTGCAGGACTATACAAGGACTCTGATTATTTTGACTATGATATGCACTGTCTCTGTGTGACACGTATGTCTTTCGATGTGTGACCTGACAATGACTATATAAACTGTGTACTGCCTTTATTCTGTCTGAGAGAAAGAAACAATTGAAACCACTGGAACTTGAGAGAAACTTAAATAAACTTCCAGAGTTTGGCGCACCACGATCCGTCTCTGTCTGGTTCATTCCTGACAAGGGCATCCAACGAAGATGCATGCGCATTATTCTAAATCTGCCGTATCGTGCCCAGTTGACAGCAGAGCATTATAGAGCACTTGGACTAACAACTTTGCAAACAAGGCAGAACTTTGCGCTTGCATGCTTTGGTTTTAAATTGTCCCACGGACTCTTGCCTGCTGCACTGGGACCATACCGACCCACACAAAGAGTCCTGCCGCACCATGTGTGCTGGGTCAGCTGTGCTTTTCCAGACGGGACACTACCCAGTAGGGGTGGGGGGTATAATTTGGTGTGTGAATTTCAATACAGGTCTAGCAGGTTCTTGCATAAAGATAAGATAAGATGTGCTTTATTTATCTCACATAGGTGAAATTTACATTTCTAGTCAAGATTGTGACTTATTTATATTGTGAGATTTCATAACACTTTGAAGCAACTATTGTTAAAGTTCAAACTCATCCTTATTACATTTGCACGAGCCAGTACTTTTCCCTTGTTTTGACTTCTGAAGGCCAAGCTACATGGCACCGTGGAAGCTGCTGATTGGAGGACTGCATTCCTCCATGCTGTATAATACACTTGCTGTCGTAACATCCCTTGTTCGTGTTGTTCGTGCTGTCTCTACCATCGACAATAAAACATGTCTTCTGTCTGAATAAAGACGCAATCCCAGACTTTGTCAAATATATTAGAATATAGTATATATATTTTTTGAGTTGTGACACAAATGAAGAGACAAATGCTGTAACATACATTATTTATTTATCTTATAGTAAAGACCATTTACAGTAAAAGTAATTTTTTTTTAAAAGAAAAACATATGTATTTGTTTAAAATATTTAAAAAACTCACAAATGTTGAAATCAAAGCCTGTAGCAGTTAGACATGTGTCAGGAATGAAGCAGACAGAGACGGATCGTGGTGCGCCAAACTCTGGAAGTTTATTTAAGTTTCTCTCAAGTTCCAGTGGTTTCCTTTGCTTCTTTCTCTCAGACAGAATAAAGGCAGTACACAGTTTATATAGTCATTGTCACGTCACACATCGAAAGACATACGTGTCACACAGAGAACATATCATAGTCAAAATAATCAGAGTCCTTGTACAGTCCTGCACGTAGGCCATATTGCTATCTAATACTAACACTCACCCTTTTGATCACATAATCACATGTGATCACTCAATTTGATCAATCAATAAAGTGAAGGAAAAAAAAAAATCAAAAAAAAATAAAACTTTTAAAAATTATTAAAACTCATAATCATCAAAATC